GATGATGATGATGATGATGATGATGATGATGATGATGATGATGATGAGCATCACCATCATCATCTCTCCGACTAGCATTATTGCTAGCTAGTTGCCTATCCTATACCCGGTGACCATTTGTTGCGGGTAGGATGCACCCTTCCATGGTCAAAGCCCCTCTAACGATGTTGCATCCACCGGCCAGCTTTGCCGACTGAAGTCCACTTTCCCTGCCTTGCATCGCACATTGTCTCAGTAGGACCAGGGGGTCCAAGCGCCGTGCTTCTTCATCTTTCGTCTCGTGCATGGTACCCCGATCCATCGCCATGGCGCTGGTACGGCAGCGTGATGCAGAAAAGGGGGGCCCAGCGAATGGAACTCCAAGCTGTTAACTGTGGAGAATTCTTGGTTCCCGGACCTTATGACTTCTCAAAAACACAAAGCTCTAAACATCTCTAAAGCATTGCAGCCGAAGCCCCTGTTAGAACTGCTGACTCAACTCCCAAAAGGGTACTTCCCCCTACGTGAACTGCTGCCTGGGATGCGTGCCTTTCCACGTTGGTCTCGGGGCCTTGGGGGTTATACCAGTTGCTTTGTAGTCATAGCATCCTGAGAGGCCAACAGTTTGGCCAGATCATGCAGGCCTTCGCAGGCAGGATTTGGCACAGCTTTCCGGGAGCCCTAAGAAGTGAAAACTGGGCAGTTTGGCTGGGACACTTTGTAATTTCCACCTATATGTTTGAGCAGCACGGCCATGGTCAGCGAAGCCAAGCGTTTCCTGCCAGTGCCTCAAATTTTGCCGGACATCGCATTGAACTGGTCCAATCTGGACAGTGGTCTTGGACATGCTGATCATGTTTCACATGTTTTTGGCCTTTTACCAAAAAAGCCAGCACGAGCTGTAGAACACATGTATGCCATAGCCTCCATCTTACAAACATGATGGAAGTGGACGGCCATTGTCCACTTCCATGATTGTAGGGAGAGTCATTGCAACTCTAGCCGCCCCCCATGGACCCAGCACCATCGGGGGGGCGATGGATGAAACACCAGGGAGGCATGAAGCAGGGCACCAGGGGGCTATGGATGTTGTCCCATCACCCATGGCTTCATCCCATCAGCTGGGTGTCTCACCAGGAGTGTTCAATCACCTCAGCACCTCCGTCCCTCTCCATGCGGCCCCCCAGGAATGGCATGCTGGTGTTCTCCGGGACCTGTTCCAAAGGATCATGCCCCAGAAGGAATGCGAAGCAAATGGACCTTGAAGGACAGATCCCAAAGACCTAACACGACAAAAGTCTTAAGGTTTCTGAAGGTGTCAGTGGCACGGAATGTAGCATCCTCACTTACCCTAAGCCCGTGCCTTATACCAATGTTCTAAGGACTCGCGATGCAGAATTTGCAAGTCTTAAACACTCCATGTATCTCCATGTATGGCATATACTTTGGGGTGCTTGCACTTGGTTCAATGTAGGTAAAATCTTCTACATATACATGATTATACATGGAGTCTCTGAGTGATTGGGCCGGGCCACCCTGGGCCATTGGGTCGACCCGACAAATCACGGAGAGAGCGTCGCTGATGTTCCACGCCCAGCGCTGGGCGCCCCGGCGGAGATGCAGCGGGCCTAGGGATGCGGGCCCAGTCTGAGAAGGTCTGGTGCGGCAGGTGGAAGGCCTCCAAATCCTTTACCGTGTTGGAGGGGCACTGGACAATTCCATGAGTGTGTGAAGGAGACTGGTCTGGAAAAGGGGCGACTTTCCGCAAATGATCCCACCAGATGTTCGTTTCTGAGCCGGCAGTGACGGCATCATTGGAGGAAAGAGATGAAGTGGACATGAAATTGCGGCAAAACAGCCGGCGTTCCTAAAGCTCTGCTTCCTGCCGCTCTAAGAGTCTAGACTTGGACAGCTGACCAAATGTGAAACTGTTCTTGTTCAAGAACCTTCAAGCCAATTCCTTGGGCACTACCTTTCACAACAGAACCTCCGGCTTAGCGCTGGTCGTACAGTTTGTCAAACCACTTGGACCCCAAAGCCGAGAAAGTCAAAAAAAAACAGGTTGAACCCCACCCCACCACGCCAAGAACCACGACTCCGTCGGCTTCGACCTTGGCCACCCACTTTCGAACCGAGGCGCTGTGGCAGCTGCGGCCCCGATGCCGACTGCGGCGCCGGCCCCGATGGCTGCTGCGCGTGCGGGAAGTTCGGCCGCGCCTGGTGCAGCTGGTGGTGCAGCCAGGGCTGGAACAGTTTGTTCGACTGTTTTCTTCGAATTGTCCACCTTTCTATATTTTAGAGGCCTCAGCAGGATTTTGCTCAGTTGGCCGAAGCACTCTAGGGAGCTCAGCACCGCTGAAATTTGGACGCTCTCTCTTCGAGAATTTGGCTGCATACCGCCTCTGCAAACCCAAAAAGAGAAGCCCTCCAAAATGGGTGGAAGCCTCCATTTCAGGACAGGTTTTGCTACCCACAGCTGATCCCCGTTCTCTAACCAACCCGCATACTGCCTCTGTAAAAGTAACTAGTCATATTGCTGTACCCAAAGGCTCATTGGACCCTCATAGCTACAGGGTTCTGACCCATGTATACAACTTACAACCAGCAGCAGTTTGAGACTCCAGGAGCCTGTGGATGGGGAGTGTCCCTCTCTCCACCGCTGCCCATGCACCTCCGGAACCGGCGCATGCGGCGCGTGCGGCGCGTGCAGCGCTTGAGGCGGCGCGTGCGCCTGATTGACGCCCGCAGGGGGCGCAGGCACGGCCAATCCACTGAAAAGAATCCAGTTGGAAACGACGATCCGGCAATATCTCAAGGGTTTGTTTGGAGAGATTCACTGGCACACACTCACATGGATTCACCACAATTCCGCACCAGCCAAAGCTGAGCTACCCCAGCTGGCCCAGGCCCGGCAAAGGACCTGGCGTCGAAAATGGTGAAGCTAGAAACAAGTGGATGGCTCAAGCGTAAGGGCCCACGCAGGAACCTACAGAATTAGCCATCATTGATCATCATAGCAATCTTTTCCATGTACCAGGAGAGCTTGGGAGCACCCTACTTCTGAAAAGCAATGTCCCAATGAGATAGTCATTGGCAGGTTCCATGGGTAGAGCCACACAAAAAGAAGGGTGCGAAGGGTGCCAAAGGATTGACATGGATTCGAGTGGCCCCTTTATAATTGCGGCAATTATACCGTATACACCAGGAGTCACAAAGGAGTGGTGTTTAGTCCCGAAGTGAGTGGATCATGGGCATGCCTAATCTCCATAGATCGCACCCCTTCGTGACTGCTGGTAATTAATTATTCTTGAATATGTTTGGCATGTTTGAGGGGGAACCATCCTTCTGCCTACTTGGGGCCACTCTCCTGCACGAACGCGATGAGTCGAGCACAAGGATGCTAGACTGCTAGACTTCTTGGCCGATTTGCATCGTACCGTGCAAATTGAAGCGATCTCATCTTCACAAGGCTCTACGTTTCCATCATCACCACTGGACAATGATGTTTTTTGAACCTGGTTCTTGCCACAGTGAAAAGAATATTGATGCAATATCACAGTGAAAATAGTGTTAATGCAATATCACAGTGAAACGAATATGAATGTAATATATTGGGTCTATTCCATTGCCTGTAACAGTGGATGATGATGATGGTTAGTAAAGGCCTGGTCCAAAAATTGCGATAATTGTTTACTGACTGTTACAGGTAAGTTCGGACAGACCCTAGTAATATATATTAATATATATATATACACCAGTACCCTCCAACAGGCTGTTAGTTGAGGGTTGTTGGACCCTAACAGTTCTCAATTGGTGACCTGTCGGAGGGTCCTGGTATATTGCATGCGTTTAGCAACCAGCGGACTGTATTAGGTGGACTTGGTTCCATCGAAACCCTTAGAGATCAACCTCAACGTCCCCGGCGCACCCGGTCACGTCCGGCCGCCGTGTCGGGAGTGCTTGTGGCCTCAAAGCGCCGGGTCCGGCGAGGGGCGATGCAGCGAAAGGGGGGGTCACTAAGATCCTGGGTGAAGTCATTCGCCACATAGAAGCCACTGCTCGATATGGCCAAGTATTCAAGGTGAGGGGCCCCAATCAAGAACCACAACCATGAGGCTCCAGTTTCTCGCAAGGAGCACCAATGAATGAGGTTATGCGCTTCTACTCTACTCATGAAACTAATTACTCTGTTCAGAGCCCTTTTCTCAAACTTCCAATATCTGCCAGGGTGGCGACACGTTCCAGCAGAACCCGATAAGGTTTCGTCCAACAATGTGATGGTGTAGCATGGTGTAGCATGTGTAGCCATACAGGTCCGCTTGCCCATGGCGCGTCCAGCTTCAGCGTGTTGGGCGCTACCAGGTGCAAGTGTTCACTGACCCCTTGCTTGATGCCAAAGGTTGTGAAACACCTCCCCCCTCCATCCGCCGTGGTGCAACGAAGCGCAACCGTCTCCAACACCGTGGCGCGTAACCCGCCGTGGCGCGATACATCGCCCAAACGGCGTCTCGCCCACGGCGCGCCTCGCCCTCGCCCGTCGACCCGATGTCTGAGGGTCCAAGCAGGCCAGACACCAGCACTGGTCCCTGAGGGGCCGACGCAGCGAGGGAACGAGCGGACGACGAGCGAGTCGGTCGACGAGCGAGTCGGTCGAAGCGCCATGTTCATGCGATTTCGACACAAAGCTGGTGGAGGACGCTGCAGCTCGTCAAGTCAAGCGGATACCCCTGCTGAAGGCAAAATGGCCATGGATGGCCTCCCAGGCATGATTATCCATGGTTAGCATCCTTTAAGTGTTGGGACTTGATCCACACCCATTGCACCAAACCCTAAAAACGGCAAAAGCCATCATATCCAGCCTCTTGACCACCGGAAGAGACTGGCAAAATACCTGTGCATTGCACCAGGTTGAGACCATTCTTTTGATGGTTTCAGGGCCAATTCTTTATAGAAGAACCTCCGAACATTGAATTGACCAATGCAACTTAGGATGCCCAATGGAGACCGCTATTGTTATGCCAATATACTATCATGCCACTATCTCTTAGATACATCATAGATACATCGATACACGAAGAACAACACGCAGTTTTTTAGGGGTTTGTCATGGTTTGTCCATTGGCGACCCCGAACGGAAGCAGCTAGCGGAAGCAGGCACCGCGCCTGGCTTCGCCAGCCCATGGGCTGGAAGGACCCGGGCCGCATCCTGGACGTCGGCGCTTCGGAGCTGGCGATGGCCTCCAAGCTACTAGCTATGGGATGTTACTAGTAAGGCACTTGTTCCTAGTAGCGATGCACTTCTTCCTAGTAGCTTCTTGTTACTACTAGTAAGGCACCTGTTACTAGAAGCGATGTTATAATGGATTCTCTGGAACAAGTTGCATCATCCTGTGTGTCCAATGTCCATTGATCTGCTCGAACCCGAATCATTTGTCGGAAGCTCTTTGTATCTCTTTGTGTTTCCTTGGGGTTCTCCTATCACTTTTCTTTTTTCTGGCCCTCTGACCACAAAGAATTGCTGCTATTTATAGGTAAGGGGCCTATGCTGTTCCCTAGATATGTTTCTTGGAGGAATGCTTCTTTGGGTTGTAGGGAGGTTCCTGGCAATGCTCCTTCCTCCTTGCAAAAACAACGCGAAGGGTGTGCTGCAAACAAGTGTTTGGAAGATTACCGTGATGTTGTTTGTCGTGGGGCACTAGCCACTGGAAGCTAGTGAACACCAAAAGCCACACAAGCCAGGACAAACAACACCACTAAAATCCATTTTAAAAAAGTCAAACATAAATGAGTCCATAAGTAATCAAACGTATTTAAGCATCTGCATTAGTCACCTCTTACATCGCGTGCCCAAACCGGCTTGCCGTAGATGAAAAGGCTCCTGCAGGACTTTTCCTCTCAGGATCTCTTTTGCGGTTCCGAACGCATGGAGCCAAACGCCGTGTGAAGCGGCCAGGCACCGTGCTCGGCATATTCGGGGTCTGTGGGCGCTCTGAAGAAGGAACCCGACATCTGTCCAAGCCTTGCGCTCTTGAAGCTTCTGAATGGGAGCCTCCCATGCCACCAGGCATCGCCAGCCCATTCGCCAGCTAACCTCACCCTTCCCCCGAAGCGCGTCCCTGCCTGCCACTGGCCTAGGTCATTCTGTCTGAGCCCTAAGTCACTGCAGTCTGAGCCAAATGCCGTACAGATCGTCTCTGCAGGGGCCGGGCACTGCTGGGACGTGCTCTTTAATTAATGTATGCTTTCATGGTTCGCAAGCGCCATCTGGAAGGAGGAGCTGCAAGTGAAGGCGATGAGTGACGAAGGCCCAAGACATCAGAAAATTGCAAAGCTCATTCAAAAAGCCTCTCATTTGATCTAATGTCATCGTAAAATTGTTAAATCCTGACGCTATCGTTGAAGTTACCCACATCCTCCAAGCAACACGAATTCCGAGCGCACCAAGCCCGGCGCATTCTTGAGGCATAAAAATCCATCACTTCGCCCGTGCAAACCTCGAGCCCTTTTTTGTCGGATCACCTCGACTTCGGCGCTGCGCCTGGGCAGCGAAGATGCACAAAGACACGCATGAGGCAGGACATGCATGAGGCAGTTGCAATCGAGAAGGATCTAAAAGGTTCTAGAACGATGGGGGTGTATTGTCCAGAGAGTCTCTGTTCGAAGCCCATCCCAATCTGTCAGATTCTGTCAGGACATATCAGGACATATCTTCCTGGGACTTGGTGTTCTGCTCCTACGGATGAACCTCCCCTCGGATCATTGAAGGATCTGAGTCTTCATGATTCCATTTATCGAAGTTCCTCCTGCAGGTTGGACAGTAGGATGCACCCTGCCAAACAAAGCCGATGTCCAAGTGTCAATGCAGTGGAACAGTTTCGTCAGCCTCCACTGCATCGAAACCGATGCCAGCCATTACATCAGAGGGCCACAAAAAAGGCGATGGTTCATTGCATTTTGATTTTTTAGTGTTGCTTGAAGAATCGTTGGTTCTTCTGTGGCTATCCAGGACGTGAACCCTTTCAGAAGCCTGGTCGTGGTGGTGGTGGTGGTGGTGCAAAAGTTGCAGTCAAATATGGCCTGTATGTATGACAATGAAGGAAATCCGAAACATGTGATGGAAGCCCAAATTGTCATGCAAATCGCATTCACACGTTTCACCTCCCTGCCACCCAAAGCAGCAACATCTGTGAAAACTAGGCCCACATGTCCCCAACACATTGAGAGGTTATGCATGAAATCCAAATATAAGGTCCAATCAATCACTTCTCTGTTCTTGGGGGAGGTTCAACCCTCAACCCCGTGTCCCGCCTGTGTTTGCAGAACTCCTTGGGCCTTTGCAGTCACTTCGCTCAGGGCACCCAAGAGCTGCGGCGGCGCCGCCAGCGACTGCAGAGGAAACACGGCGGAGGACTGATAGTCTTAGTGCATCATTCTGTCGATTGATGTGCTCAACGCTACATTCAATTTGGATACAAGGGGTTACCAACTTTAATATACTTTCATACAGCGTCTTCTCAGCTACCGAGGCGGAGGTTGGGGTGGAGATTTCACGAATTGCCATTCGGACTGGTGCAGCCCCGGGATGTGTGTGGGACTAAAATGGATCGAGCGAATCTGGTGATTTCTGGCTTCACAAATGTCTGGCTCCTGAGAAAGGACGACCAAGGGCCGCTGTGTCGACACCATGTCCCATCGGGCCGCCTCAGCGATGGCCACGTCCATGGCGAGGTCTGGCGTGATGCGGTCGTGCTGCATCTCAGAGCAGAGGCGCCGCACCTGGCGTGCCGCTGGGCGGCTCGGCGTATCCCAAAGGATCAAAGACGCCCCAAGAAGGATGACATGGCGACCAAGGAACAGCACCAAGCCTGTGAGTTCAAGGCTGAAGTTGAGATGATGACACCATCTTAAGAGCTGTTTCAGGTATTGATCTATACAATTCTATCTACAGCACCGGCAAGCTGCTCAATCATGGGCGAGTTGAGGAAAATCATGTCCTCCTTTTGCCACCATGAACTACTAGCTGTGTAGTAGGTGTACGTTGTGGCCCGCTGAGCTCAGGTTGGGCCAAACCCGCCACTGCCCTCAAGTTGTGTGGACCAAAAAACATGGTGATTCCCTGTTGTTCTGGATGGCACTTCTCAATTCAAGTACAGTAATATAGGGAATAGGGAACCCCAAGCAGTGTTCTGCAAACTGTCCAAGCCAATCCGAAACACCAGAATAACTAAATTCTGTGGAGGGCCGCAGGCCCATATCCAGCAAAAGAACGTGATTCGACACCGATGCTTTGGAAGTCTGCGATGCTCCGTGACAATTTCCTCGGCCCCAATACTGGCTTCCATTGATGGATGTATGTACTTACAGATCTTAGAGATATATCATGATTGTGGGCGTGCCCGACCAATGCCACCCCGCCAAAAAAGGAATCGGATCTGCAGACTCGTCCGATCTCCGCCTAGAGTCTAGAGTTTCTGTTTCGACCCCCTGCAGACCAACCTGTGCATCCTCACCACGTACAGCGGCGACGGCTGCACAGTAGGAGACCACATCTGGTCGCAGGGACCACCTGGGAGCGAACTCGCGCCTCTCTGAGCACTGCTGACCAAAAAGGACTGAAACTCTGAGGCGCCATTGTACGACATGGTTCCTTTAGGTGAATGAGCGGCAACAAAAACTGCCCGCAAAGAACTCGCATCACAATGGGGTAATACAATGGGTGTGATTCATTGATTCATAATCTTCATAGTAGCAACATGGATCTTGAGTTCTGTATCTGGGCCAAGCAGTCCAATGCACCAGCTGACCCACAGCGACCCCATTACAAACCCATGCTTCTTGCGTCCATGTCAGCTTGTGAGGGTTCCAAATGCGCGGTTTTCTGCACTCCACCCGTCCCTCAGTCATGTGTCCAGGAACTCCTGCGGTCTCACCCTGTCGCCTTGATCGAGCCCCTCTCCAAAGCTCCAACAACGTCCGCCAGCGCCCAGCCAGGCCATGCAGTGCGGCATTCAGCACCTCAGGCAGCAGCCTACACGCGCGCGCGGAGGGGCCTGAGATACCTACATTGTGGTAATTCCGTGGCACCTTGGCGACACTGCCATTCACAACGGTGAAGCAAGGGGGGCGGTGACGACACTCTTCCAGCTTCTGTGTTTCAACATGCCAGTAGAGCTGGAATTGATGTCTCAGCGGCCTCATCCGGCCAACTGCCTCTTTGGGCTGCCCCTTGGCCAAGCTGACATCGTAGAGTCGTAGAGTCATAGGGATAAGCTTGCATACGAAATCGGCAAAGACATCACGGCTCCCCCTCAAAGCCTTGTGTTGCCGTGCCTTCGAGACGCGGCAAGAGGCGTCCAATGTATTCCAGCCCAACATATCATCCTCGCACTGGAGATGTAGAGGCAGGAGCAGGCCACTTCCACGCTGGGCAGCTTGAAGCCTTGCTTGAAGGAGTTCGCCACTGATCTGCGTCGGAAGAAGCAAAGGCGAGCAAGCCTACGTGCCACAGAAGGAAGCGGGAGCTGCTTTACATCTAATTCAGGTCTGCTGCAGTGGGGGTTCCCTGATCCTGGTTATCCACCCAAAGCAAACTTGCTCATACTTCGACCTCACAAGGATGTCCCACATAGTTGCCACAAGTCCTGAGCCACAAACCAGTCCGCAAAAACTTATTGGAACACTTCATAAGCCGAAGCCTGGCAGCCTGGTCAAGTCAACCCAAATTAGAGTAACCACCCGTGCCGCGGGGGTCATGAATGGAAAACTCTTCCACAGCCCAATCCAGCGCATCACTGCAACCCGCCTCAGGTCATTCCTCCATTTTGAGCTGGGGTCTCACATCAACCAACAGTTGCCACAAAAATTAGTGATATGCATTCCTGACCAAACATGAGCAAACCCCACCCTATTAAGGTTGTGGTAGCGTTGTTCATCTGGGATCTCCGTTCATGCAAAGCCAAGACCCTTGTGAAGGGGGGTTCCACCCCCATTCCGTACCCCCAATAGGGGCGCCACGATTCCGCGCCACGCGATCAGGGAACCACCAGGTCAGGTCGATGATCAGAGAAGGTGTTCAAGAGCTGCATCAGCTGCGACCATTGGGCGGCCTGGCGGGATTCTGCAGAGGTGACAAATGGTGACTGATCCTGCAGAGCTCGAGGTGTTCTGTGGTTGCAGCGTCTGCACATGTTTGAACCAATCTTGTCCTCATTGAGCTACAATCATGGCCATGGCCATGCCTCAAACCACCATGAGGATCTATTTTTCTCATGATGCCGGTGTGTTAGAATGCAAAGCTTCGTCAACCAAGGGACTTTGTCTGCCGTTCCGTTTTTGCCACAAGGTGTTTTGATGCCTTTTCTCTCGCGATGAAGGGGAAAACTTCAAACCGCGGTGGTGTTGCGACGTCGGTGTCGAACAAAAAACGGGGCCCATTGCGGCTTGGCCGACTGCCCACGGACTGCATGAACTGAGCGAGGAAGCTTGGAGATTGACAATACCTTGCTGTAGATTCATTGGACGGGGTTGCCATATCCGCTCACTCCGGGAGCTTTTTGAAAGGAGTGTTGCAGAATCTTGGATCCATACACGAAAATGGTGTCTTTGAGGCCCAGCAAGACCTAATGGCCCTCCGGGTTTTCTGGCTTTGAGATATGGCCAAACTTACAGTATATTTCTAAGAGCATGGGTCCTCGAAGTGGCATTCTACAATTATACTTTGGGTCCACCTTGTTACCAGTAACAGTGGATGATGCCTTTATCTAAACTAGTGATTTGCTTGCTTACTGACGGCTCTACAGGCAAGTTTGGTTCGTCACGACACACGTCACATGGAAGTGGATGTCACCCCCTGTTCGTAAAGGACAGTCATCTTCCTTTCGGGACCATGCCATCCACATAACCATGATCTTCCATGTGTATTACATCCAGCCATTTTCCACGATCTTCTTGATGTGTTCGTCCGAGTGTATACTTTTGATCACGGTTCTAAGGCCTCGCGCCTTCTACTTCGAATCGTTTCTCCTTCGGCTTAATGGGCAGGGAAAGACCGTTTTCCGTGGGTCCATACGGGACGGCGCTTTTCGTTACAACGCTCTGGTTGGTGCGTCCACCTCTTCCTCTCTACCTTTGAGCAACAAGAACCGTTAGGGTGAACATCACAATAATGTGTCATTTTTGTGGTGAAGGCCCGATGCTTTTATACAAAGGTTGTTCAGAATGTTTCACTGACCCCGCACTCTCATCCTGTTCCCAGTTCTTCGGCCCAAGCTACAAATCATGAGGCCGAGTGCAACGGGTTTGCATAAACAAAGAAGAAATGCAAAAGGCCAAGCAAATCCGTCAATATCCGTCATACAGGTTCAGGTGCAACAAAAATCAAACACCCAATAAACGTATGTATATGGTTATATAACTATATATATATACAGGTGAGGTTTGAAATCCGTTATTTTTCTCAATGTGTTTCTCAGGTGTCAAGATCTTCGGTGTTCTCCACCACTCGGTGCAGTCAGAGCAGAAACTTGCTATGGCATATGTCAATGGTTGTTATTGATTCTCTTTGTACAGTATGCAAGCGGGGCGGCGGAATGAAATTGGTCGTCAGGCACAAACGGACGCCCATTCAATGCCGTTTTATGAATATAATAAAAGCTAACACTTAAAAGCCTTTTAGACTGTCAAAAATGAAGGGTTTTGTTTTTACCCGATGTTGTTTGAAACAAAAACGTATTTCAGAAGGTATAGTATAAACACTCCGACTCACTAACATGGCAGTGGAAAATGGCCCGTTGGATGACCATTCTCCTCTACAAACAGGTGGTTTTCCACTTCCATGTTATTAGTGAGTCAGAGGGTATTTTCGACTAGCTGGGGCAACCTGACTTCCACTGGACTCGCCAGCGACATGGCTCCGGCGGAACGTGCGGGGCGCTGTGAGCATCCGGTGGGTGAACGCTACCCTTTTCCCGAACAAAGAACCTACAACTCTGGCTAGCGGCTAGTAGAACGTCAGCTTCCATGTCGTTCAGCTTCGATGTTGCTTTTTGCAGCTGAACCCCCCAGAGACCGAGATAGACTTCGTAGGCCAAGCGTCGGCAAAGTATGGTACATTCTGAACAACGGTAGTGACGTAATGCGGACGCCACCGGGCAGAGGTCATTTGACTGGAACATCATCGTTTTCGGGGTCGTCTACTAATCTATCATCTGTCACTCAAATCCATTGTAAAAAAGAACACGCATAAAAGCTGTTACTACTGCATTGCCATATCTACATCAATTTTGTTCCAAGGCGGATATTGAAGAGCTCCAGTTTTTGTTTGTTCACTTTCAAGAAGGACATCCACCAGGCTTCCAGCTCCAAATTTAGAGCCTCCATACTGACTTTATGCCAGTGAGACTCGCAGGTGTGTGTCTTCCAACCCCCTGTCCATAGTGACAGAACCACCTGAACAGTGGAAGGTTGTGGGTGGACATATTGTCAACTCTGTTCAACCGGACATTGTCACAGGCACAAGTCTAACAAGATTGCAAGCGTCGCAAGGCTGCAACATCACCTGCCTTGTGTTGCACATCGATTCAGGTAGAGAAACATCAAGGCGCACCCCCATAACTCAACCACAACATACATCTGATACATAACATACACATAAACCCGCCAAACAACGACTGGCAGTATTCAGTCAACTTTAGCAGCTATACCGCTATACGTAGATACTGGGGCTGCACTGAACATCATCACCCATTCCTGTCTCAGTGCGCACGTTCGGCTGGCCACACTCCAATGGTCCAATGGCTGTTTCCAGGAAGCCCAGGCTGGCCTACGTCACCAGTTAGCCAGCTTTCGGCGACAAGAATGTCTGTGACACACACACAAACTCAAGTCCATTCTTGCCTTTCGATCCCCATGTCAACGGTTGTTCTCACGGTGTTTGATCTCACAAAGGTCGCTTAAATCCACCTTCAGCAATCTAACCCTCAGACTCACAAACATGGAACCCTTGGAGGACGACTTTCCCTTCACACAGCGGGGGTCCTATGTTGGACAATCGGAGTGTAAATGAGTGTAAGATAGTGTAAGAGTCTATATTCGCGGCTGTCCTGGCTCCCTCCGGATGCATCAAAGCCGCCAAAAAAGGCCTCTTCATGTCTCTAGCTTCAAAACCTGAGAGCTGTCGGACAGTGGCGTTTTTCAAACCGAAACGCACGCACGGCATATGAAGCACCAAATCGCGCAAATCGTAGAGAGAACGTCTGTGCCGGACAGTTTTGGCGCGTCTTCCTGGGACACTGGAGCAACACCCACGAGAGGGCAACAAATGGGGACGACACAACCCTGCGACGGCGACGCGGGCAAAAAAAACTCGAAGGCCACTGGAAGGAAGATATATCAGATATCAATACTCAATACACTCGCTGAAAATCATCATGGAAGTGGGAAACCACCTGTTTGTAGAGGAGCGTAAGCTGATCCAACGGACCATTGTCCATGTCCATGATTGTTCCAGGGAGTGTAATTAACGACGTTCATTAGTTACCCAAACACTCCATGTAATTATGCCATATATGCCTATATACATTGACCCCCCAAACCACCCCAATGTAGGCAAATATGGCATACATGGAGTGTTTGGGTTATGTTCATTGGTCAATTCGATATGATTCGACAGCTGGCAGCATTCGTGCCCCGATACTACCGCAACGACCTGCCTTCGACGTGTGGCCGCCCTCCGGCGAACTGATGTGCAAAAGAACATCCGGTTCGAGCGCACCGCTGTCTGCAGGCATTGATTCTATATGCAAAGAACACGCGCAAAAAACTCGTAGTTACAGTGTGGGGTCAAGAGTGCCATATGGAGGACAAGCTAACATCAGCGTTTCTTCTTCCGTGGGAGGTGGGAACTGGCTGACATATGGAACTTCCACTTGAGTACTGACCCTCAGCTCGCCAAGAAAAAAAACGCAGGGTCTCCTGCCTTCACCATCTCTAGCCATCCATCCATTCCGAGCCATCTCAGCCATCTCAGTCTCTATTCCCCGAGGCAAGGCCCAACTTTGGCCATGGCACCGGACTTCGATCAGGGGATCTTCCTTCTCGATCTTCTCAGGCGTTGCTTTTTGCGGCGTGGGTGGAGCAGTCCTCGGCTCCTCCACGCTCTCGCTGAAAAACTCCCGCTCCGTGTGCGTAAGCAGGCCATCGCTGCTGCCCAAATCCCGGTCCAGGATCAGCTGCCTCGAGTGGATTTGGAGGGAAAAACTGCCTCTCTGAGAGAGAGAGAGAGAGATGGGCACGCACCTCACAGAAATAAACAGGCTACAAACACTTCAGGACCTACAAGCCTTCTGGACGAAAGGAAGAAGATGTGATGGCTACCTCCCAGCCTCCTAACTAAGTGATGCACAATGAACACAAAGCCTGCATTGGCCTCAACATCAACCACAATAAGATCACTTTCCATATCTTTGCATTTGTATAACATCACCTTATAATGTAGGCTGTCGATGATCAACCGCCGATGTTGTACCATATCCTACCATTCAAGTAAGGGGGCTTTGCTCACAGTCAACCTTAAGCCTCCGACATGCGGACTACTGCGCACCGATCACCTCACCGACTGACTCTTCCGATGGGCCAAGCTGCCCCAGGGCGCGGATCTTGGTCTCGAAACGGAAGGTGCCGATGGCCTCCAACGACCAATGAGTCCGTGAGGTTTGATGGGGCGTCCGATGGGCGTCCTACCATACGCGGCGTAGTGCAGAATCCCGATCTAGCTGGATCCCACGGCTTGGTCGCTTTGGCTCAAATGTCTGTCTGCCCAGGCCGCCCAACGCCCAACGCCGGGCACCCTTAGAGGGGTCCCAAGCGACCGGCCCTTCCGCCATGTCCATGAGTCTCATCCAATCCAAACGAGGATGTTCTAAGAGGAATACACCTATTACAGTGCCCACAATGGATCCCACCGACATACTACCGAGCACCTGCGATCCGCTGTGGAAAATGCTCGAATATCGAAGTCCAAATTCATTCATCCTGTCAGGTGTCATGTGTTCTCGTGAGGTTTAGAATGGGGCTGGGATCTATCGACCCTTGCACTCTTTGGATCTTTGGAGAGGTATACAATATATAATAGTAAATATATATATATATATGTGTGTGTGTGTGCGCGTTTTCTTCTTTAGGATAATGTATGCATGTATATATACATGTGCCCGGAGCCCGGCCAAGGTCTCTTGAAAGCACAAGCAACGGACAGATCATCGGAAGAATCTACCTGACATACATGGACCCCTTTGAATTGAATGACCATTATGACCCAGGAATCCCTGGTCACTGAAATCCAAGTATTGAAATTGAACCCAAGTGAGCCTGTCTATGCCCCCCAAAGGGTGCGAACATCGATTCCTGTTGGATCTTCCTAGCTCTCTTCCACCAAGTCGACTATTCAAGCTCGTCAGCCCCCAACCACAACAACAAGCAAAAAGAACACGACTGGTCATGATCATGAACCCTTGCACTTTTTGAGCATGTTGGCATGCTCAGTGTTCACCAGCAACATCTGTATTTTCATCGTTCCCGTCGGTGCCTCGATGACCCGCCGCAAGCGGAACTCCTCATTGGGGTCGAAGCACCGGCTGATAGAGCAATCCTGGATCCACGACCGTCGCGTTCGACACCCCACCACTCGCCCCTGGTCATCACACAAGTTGCTCCTTCGTGCCTCGTGGTTTGTGAAGAAGAACCCGCCTACCAACAAGCCAAGGACTACGGACCAAAAGAACTAATCCAACAAATCTTGCCGTTGAACGGTGCCCGGTGCATTTCACACCAAAACAGTTTCGGCCGGGCCTCTGGAGTCGGAGAAAAATCGGCAGAATGATTTCTGGAGGAATCAACACGAATGACCCTTGGGAATAACAAGGGGCCGGCGCTAGGAACCTAATACCTCTTGGCAGTGCACCACCGGAAGTGGGGCCTCATTCATAAATAAACCCGATTGTTGGACCAAGCTCCCCCAAAGCACTGCTGAGTAAAGCAGCACATGCACTGGTGGCTGTTGATTGATACAGCCCAGTTGGAAATTTAGAGCCATCCCGGTACACGGGGAGGATTGCCTATATACATCATGTCTACATGCTACATCACTCGAAGGAGCTGTTGCCGTGGCGCGGAGATTCTGATGTCGCTTCGTGCCCTTTTCCTCTTGCTAATGAACTCCTCGATGCACCCTCGGTATTCGACGATCTGGGCATGCTACCTCGGCCTCAAGGCCACGAAACGTTTCCTTGCATACCGTGCATACCTTGGGCCGCGTCCTTGCGGTATGTGTGACATAGGCCATGCACACCTGGAGTTTAGGTTGCCTGCTCAAAGCCGGCGGCCGTGGATATGTCGAATATGTTTGGGGTGCGTTGCTATTGAATCAAGGCCTGCACCATGAACAATTGTACTGATTCTCGGTTGTGGAGCCTTTGTTCAAAGCATCTGCCATATCTCTTGAACTTGTATCTGCCCAAATAAAACAACATAAATCTGCAAACATGTTTCTTCTCTTACTTTTAACTCGTGTATTAACAACATTTTGTCGTTTGGAGCGCCTGCAGGACCTTGTAAAGCTTTGCATTTGATCAAGGTGGAATTGCATTTGATTTCGGGGATCTTGTTTCTACCAGGCCCTCCATGTCCACCAGGCCCCCCGTGCCCACCCACCACCCAACCCCAGCAGGAGCAGCCACCAATTGGCAGCCGCTGTGATCCTGCGGCTCGGTTGCATGGCACGGGTATGGGAGGAAGTGGTTCTTGGTTTCTGGTTTCGTGTTGTTCCTGGCAAAGAAGCCAATCGGCTACTTGGGCCACTCCACTGGAGCCGCTCGAGGCACTTAGAAAATAAACAATCCACTCCATCCACTGGCCATATAGTGGAGCCGCCAAATAAATGGTAGATGCTAACTTGGCACCTTTTCCTTTAGTAGCCCACGTTGCAGGTTATCCCTGCTAGGGGCCGCCATGCATTAATCAGTGAGGTGCACTGTGGTAACTAATCAGGCGTGTTCCCTAGCGAGTGAAGTTGAGCCAATAAGTTGCGTCAATGAAAGTATGTGGGTTTCCTCCAAAATAATGTAAAGTTAGGATTAATAAATCCCCCCTAGTTGGCCCGAGCCCACAAAGCCGCGGGAAATTGCCCAAATTAAAAGTAGTATTGGTTGCTGATCTCCCACCCAATGGTCTAGTTTTCTACCAGAAATCCCCCCCAGTTAATCCGAGCCCGCAACCAGGTCAATGTTTAGTACTACTACTCCTCCTCCTCGTCCTCCTTCTCCTCCTCCTCCTGCTGCTGCTGCTAGCTACTATCTACTATCTACTAGCTACTAGCTACTGCTGCTGCTACTGCTACTAGCTACTAGCTATTGCTGCTGCTGCTGCTGCTGCTCCTCCTCCTCCTACTACTACCTACTACCTACTACCTACCTGCCTACTGCCTACTGCCTACTGCCTACTACCTACTACCTACTACCTACTACCTACTACGTACTACCTACTACCTACTACCTACTACCTACTACCTACTACCTACTACCTACTACTACTACTGCTGCTGCTGCTGCTGCTGCTACTGCTACTGCTACTGCTACTCCTGCTACTACTACTGCCACTACTACTGCTGCTACGACGACCACCACCACCTACCCACCTACCCACCTACCTACCTACCTACCTACCACCTACTACATTTTTGATGAAGTCCTAAAAAATGTCTAGGCCTCCGCGCCTATAAATTGGCTTATTTCAAAAAACAAGCAAGACTACTAGTACCACTACTGCTGCTGCTGCGACTACCACTACTACTGCTGCTGCTGCTGCTACTACTACTATCCCCCTTGTGGAGGTCTCTGGGATCCGTGACTTCATTTTATAATAGAACAATCATTTATAAAATGGAAACCCACATGCTGCTGCGTTATAAACTGAGAACCCGACCTTTTTATATAATAGTGACCAGGATTCAGAGAGCAAAAAAAATAAAATTTCAGAGGCACCTTTTGTCTCTTTATGGAATGGCGTTCCAGATCCAGTGATCATTTTGATCCGAAAATGGCCAATGTTTATGGAATGCAGAGCCAGGTTCGGCTTCACCCTCACAGGATCTCTTGCGACAGACTCAAAAATCCTCTGTGCGGACAAGTCTGTGATTCTAACTTTCTAATCCCCCTTGTGGAGGTCTCTGGGGTGAGGGATTTGATTTTATAAGGAAAACCCATTTATAAAATGGAATCCCTCAGGCTGCTGCTTTATAAAATGAGAACCCGCACAGACAGGGTACCTAGCCACAGCACGCAAAGAGCACACAGACAGAATACCTAACTACAGCACACAAAGAGCACACAGACAGGGTAGCTAATTACAGCACACAAAGAGCACACAGACAGGGTAACTAACTACAGCAGACAAAGAGCCAAAGGGACCGCCAAGAGCACACCTGCCATTTGCTGTGTCAGCAGGGGGGACGCTGTCATTTGTTTGCCCAGCCAGACGTGATCAAAACGCGGTCGTTTGTTTCCTCAGACGCGATCAAAACTTTTTTGTTTGCGTAGGGGGGCGACGGTGCACCAGCATCACCACATGGGTTCCAGCGCCAGCTCTCCACGCAACACGCGAAGCCCTTCGTGCCATATCGGCGCAATGCGACGTCCTGTAGCCGCTTCGCCGCATCGGCCTCTGGTAGAGATAGCGTGATCACCAGCTGTGTGAGGCTGTCTCATTCTATGGCGTCGAGCCAAGCCTGTGCTCGATTGAACCGATGGCATTTGTAGTTGCGCCTCACGCGGCCACCTGTTGCGAGTAGCCGCCAGCCAGCAGTTGGTCTTCGCGGATCTTTCGTCTTTGCCCTGCTCTCGGGGTTACTGGTAGCACAGAGTTCCGCGACGCGATTGCTCAGGCGAGTTCCAAGACCTGCTCTGACCTTCAAGTTGGGCCATCTTCTGTTGCGCGTCGCAACACTATGATCGCATAGAGATTGCCCGCTGAAGGGCATGTCCAATGGATCCTGTTGCCAGGAAATCCAACAAGATTGCAGTTCGGCAATCTCTGTTGCCTCCTGTCTTGCCAGGGCACCAATAGGATGGTGAGTTGCCACCTTCATCTCTGAGCACTCTCATGCACACGCACACACGCACAGGATGGTTTAGGTGTACCCCGTCCAAAAAATCTCATTTGTGGGCCATATGGTGGCCATGGGGCTTTGGCTTGATGGACTGAGTTGGGAAAGGTGGCTTGAAGGCTGAAGAGGTTCTACATCCAGCTTGTACCACTCGTACCACTGTGCAGTGTAGTATTATAGTCTTCAAAACTTAGAGTGTGGGTGGTCACTAGTTTCCACTTAAGAACTATATAGGTTCATACAATTGGGAGTTTATAGTGAACCAAAAGACTATAGACATGTACGGAGAGGTGTACCGAGAAAAACCCAACCCAACCCTCACCAACTCCTTCCCAGGACTCTCCACATAGTTGCACATCCGTGGGAGAAAGGTGGCCTGGCAGCAGTGGGCAAGGGCTGGAAGCAAAGTGGCTGAACACTGGCCTGGTCCAATTCACCACCACAAGTGTTTGAACTCAACTTTTTTTCCATCTACTGCCTTGGCGTTTGGCTTCACTCAGATGCCAGTGCCCAGTGAAGCATGACCAACGTTGTTTTTTACAACTATTACGTTGCTTGACACATATCAGGGCCGTTTAGCACTGTTCACTGTTCACTTGAAGTTTCATTGGAAAACAAAAGGCTGCTGGCACCGTGACATCCTCGATCATCAAAATTACAGCATGTTGTGGCTGCAAGCCATTCAGTGACCATTTCATTTGCCAGCCAATTTGGCAAGTTTGGAAATTCCACGCGATGAGGGGCTCAAGCACTTTGGCCGCTTGGGTCTGAGTGATCTTGGCCTCTGTGTCTTCTTTCAAAGTGCAGAAACTTTAAAACACATGCAGTGCTGCAGTACACCTGATATTTATAATCTACAACTTTCACAATATTATATATAGTCCGTCTCAAACTTCCAGTTGTCAGGATCTTCGGTCACCTTGTGGTAGCACACCCTGATAGGCTTTGTCTTTCCTTTCGCTGCTGCCAGAGTGCCCGTTTGACCATCAAGGATGCCATATTTAAGTGTTGCCATCCGCCTCAAAGAGAATCTCAGAATCGGTCAACGGTTTGTCAGGTGCAGCCTCACGAAACTTTGCCTCTCCACATCCTGCCTGCTGCAAAGTCACCTTGGCAGCCACGAGTCTCAGTAGAGCAGCATTGCACCACATGGTTCAGTATACTATTTGCAATATCAATTTTTAATCACATCATAAATAAAAAATGGTCTTGTATTTTTCAACTCCACACCTCATGGCCAGTGCAGTTCTTGAAGGCAACGCCAACCTTCTTGTCAACGATGAGCTGGGGCATGGTGCTGAGCGTCTCAGCACAACGAGCATTCACAATCGCCACAACATCTTGCATTCCTGGAAGCGCTTCCAAGTCCACGAACTCCACAGTAGCATCAAGTGCACGCTTCTTGCTCAAAGTTTTGGCTGAAGGCTGAAGCTTCACAAAGGTCCCAAACGAGGCTTTGCCCTTGGTGTTCTTGGCGGGTTTGCTGTGGGGTGGCGGGTCAAGAACTTTGGTGAAAGTCTTGAAACTTCGCATTCTCAGCAAATTGTTTCTGGGCCATCTCAGGAATCTCAATGGTGACAATCTCCTTGTCCACCTGGAATTTGTTATTTCTTGGTCAGAGTGTGTGGCAGATGAATTTAAACAATACTACAGGATCGTGTCCGCAGTCATGGCAGGGCTTTTCTTCAGCAACCTGTCTAGACGGCATGTTCACATCCAGTTGCATGCCAGCTGCCAGTTGAACAGGCTCCCCTGCAGGCGTTCCAGTCAAGACTTCGCCGGTCAGCTCGGTCAACGATGTGGTGAACACATGCTGAAGCTGTGGTCGGCAACTGTATGGGCTCGACTGCTCCCAACTCCCCGCCCCTGTTGGATGCTGCGCTGCTACCGTCATCCACGCTCAGCTCTGAACTGCTGCGCCCAAGAACGTGAACTCAGCTGTGGAGCTAGTTATCTAAAGACGGCAATGATTGCTCGCCATGTCAATGAAGAACCATAAAGAACCCCAACAACACGCCCAAGAGTGTCACCACACTAACTGAGCGTCGGCAGCAAAGCACCAAGTGCTCCGGTACCAACTCAAAGTTGGTGCGATGATACGCATATCCCAATGCCACTGGCATAGCCATTGCTTCGCGCCCATTCCTCTTGCTAATGAATTCCTTGATGCACCCTCGGTATTCGACAATCTGGGCCTCGAGGCCACGAAACCTTTCCTTGCATACCGTGCACACCTTGGGCCGCATCCTTGCGGTATACGCTATGTGTGACATAGGCCATGTACACCTTGAGTGGGGAACCCGATGGGGGTTGCGCTGACCGTCTCCATCCTCTCTGAGTGAAAATTAATCTGAATACTGAATACCTCTGAAACTCTGAACCTCATAGGCGAGCGTGACCACTGAACCAAGGTCGCTCGTTTTCTCGCAGTCTGCCGCTCGTTTTCTCCCGATGTGTCGAGCCGAGATTCAAAGGTCGTGAGCTGGATCAAAGAAGATTGGCAAAGTGGGAAGACCATGAGCTGCTTCAAGGCCATGTCCATTGACATGAAGGACCTGATCGTACGAGCGGAGCTGGAACCGGACTTTGGGCCTTCAAAACCCATTTCGGTCCCTAATGGTTTGGTGACCTCCCCCGTCCCTATCACCAAAAGTCGCTGAGCCGCTCTCGACCGGACCTGGGCCTGGGCCCTTTTTGTTTCCATATGAGTATGATCGACAACTCCATGGATTCACTCAAAAATGGATCAGAAAGGACTCCAAAGGCTGTTGATTCATAAACCCAAACCATTTGGATGGTGAAACCTCTTCTATGCTGGTTTTTGATCAACAGCCTGCAATTAAGCAACGGTATGCTTAATGAACGCCATAAAGAAAACACACACCACATACACGAACAAAACGCTCTCAAAAAGCTCCGGGTGACAGCAACACGCAGAGCTCCCAAGCACACCAAAGACGAGTAGGATAAGTCTTTCCACACAAGCAAAGCATCTTCCTGCCGTGCTCCGTGCTCCGTGCTCCGCGACGTTTGGGACGCCATCGACACGGAAGAGCGTTCTGCGATGTTCTGCGATGTTCATGGAGAATCCAACGACCTCCGACCGCTCCGAGCGCTCCGACCTGGGAGCATCCTGGTTGACCCGGCTATAGGGTCTCTATAAACCATCCCCCAAGGCAAGGTGGTGCCTACAACAGCGAACAGTTCTGCGAACGCGGGTTCCCCAGCCTGCAGGACATGACATTCACCTCAGGTTTGCAAAGGAACGGCTGCACATGTTGTTTATTTAGATTTGGATAGTGACTGGGGGTTCCTCAGATTGGCTGGTACAATTCCTCCTGTAACTCCGAAATGTTTATTGATCGAAATCGGGCACTTTGCTTCGGTGATCCATTCGGAACCGTGGTCACTCTGATTCCTCATGCCACCAGCCGCTGCCGGTGGCCCTATGCTGCCATGGTGGCAGGGAGGACACGGAGCCCGTCAGCAAGATCTCGTTGGTCGATGCAGAACTTGTCCACCCACATGGTGGGATAGCCTAGGATTCGTCAACTTCATCACTGTGCAGAGTCCAAGAAGGGGGGGTATACCAGGACACCCTAAGTCTATTGATAGCCCCTTAGAGGTTAAGGGGTGTTCATTAACCACCCCGACTGTGGGTTTAGTTTAGTAGGAATTCCCCCGAATTTCCCCTACCCTAATTGTCGGGTGGTCATTGATAAAGGACATTCAATCCCCGATCATATATAGAGAGGATTACGGAGGATGGTCCTCGATTGCTTGGTTGGCCTTGCCCTGCCTTGCTCTAATTGCTGCCTGGCTTTTCTTTACTTAATTACTTGCTTCCCTGCCTTGCCTCCTTTGTTTGCTTTTCTTGCTTTGCTAGCTTTGCTCGCCTTGCTTGTTTTGCCTTCTGTTCTCACTTGCCTGGTTGCATGTCTCATGAACCTGCTCTTTGGCCATTGAATCATTGATTGATCTCGATTCTTGATTCATATCTTCACCCAGCACCGGAACTCGAATAGGAACTGGCATCAGCCCGCCCGGCCGGACTGCTCCCAGGATTGATCGCACGACTGCGACCACGCAAACGACCGACCCCCTGCGAGCTTGTATGCGTGTTGGCTCCAAGGAAAGAAGATTACCACCCTGAATTCTTGTCAAGTTGAGACAGCACATGGTAAAACAACGATGAGTGCAAACCTAAATGACATGCTTGTGCAGACTATGTATAAACAATACATTTTACTGCATCATTTACTTTAATCCAGCTTAAGCCTTCAAAGGAAAATGAGACGTCATCCCGTGCTAAATGCGCTTCCCGCCGTGTCACGACCCTTCTGTTCGTAGAACCTCTGCACCACAATCTGCCTCAGGGTCAAATTGGGCCACTGGGCCATCTGGCCCAATACTCGACGCATGGGGTGCAAATATTAGACAGATGGACCCAAGCGATGGATTTCAATCTATCCCTGAGGCTCCATGTATGACACAGTTGCCTACGTGGTCATGTCTGCTCATTTGACTCACGGAGGCCATGTAGTTGATGTTTCTATACGGTCAAAGCCTCACACACCTCCGCCACATGCCGCCCGCGACCTTGTAACCCACGACCTGCACCTGCACCGGCGCCCCTGCAAAACGACACAGCCCCTCCTCTGCACTACGTACACACCTGCACCCGTCCTTTCTGGGAGATAATCTCACTTGGTCTTAGTTGGCATGTAACTACTTAGTGCTGTGTGTCTGTGTGGATCGCCTCCTTTCCATTTCTTTTCCTCACTCCTCCGAACCCTTCGGACTAAAGCCAGATCTCTGCCGAAGTGCAAGGCCTTCCACTTCCGCTCCGGAGAGTCGCTCCAGCTGTGGGACACGAAGAAGTCGATGACTTCCGTCCGGCCCAGTGGACGCGAGAATTCAAAGCCTCGGCCCGGTCGGAGGTGGTTGGGTTCGACAGTGGCGGGGACCGTGGGGGCGATGAAATGCGAACGACCACCCCCATCTTGAGTCAGCCAGAAGCTTGTGACTGCTCTACCTTATCCTTGGGATTCATTGGGCGGCGGCCCCCCAAACCTGCATGACCGAGTCAACAAAGGTGTTGAACATTGGATGATAATTTTCCAGGCACCAGGACCTATTGGCCGGTCCATCACCACCAGCCAGCTTTGGGCCCCACAGGGAGAATTGCTGGTGAGCGGCCATGGCCCTCCTTGTCCCTCCAAAGGTCTTTGGAATCAGCAATGCTCAAAAAACCTCTTCAATGAAACTGAAATCTCCCACAACTGCTGGATCTGGACCAAAACATGGCACTTCAAACTCTTCCAACCCGAGGCTCGAAGCTTTGTGACGTCCATTCGATGCAGCGCAGTTTGGAGCGACCCAGCTTCAGGAGCTCCGGCCAGGGCAGCACCTTTCGGCCGACGGGAAGCCGGGGCCGCGGACTGGTGCGTGTGGGAGACCTCCGTCGGACGCTGCGTCGTCTAACCGTCCTAGATGTGGATTCTTTACGGGCACGGTCAATGGAATTTCCAGTGTGGCAAAATGTTCACGACGTGAAATGTGATATGTAGACATATAATATGAGTATTTATTATTTGATGTACAGTAAAATATAGATACTGTATGTATTATTACTTTAATTTTTGATGATATTTAATCGATTACATCGTACACCGCACTGTACATGCACCCACTTGAACAGAAAGGAGCTCCGCCCAAGCCTCCAATGTCATCTCCTCTCCTAGATTGGCCTTCAATCAGAAACTGGTTGGTGGTTTTGCCAAGTGTAAAGGTTGAAAACCATCCTTCTCCTTCTCTGAAAAGACCACTCAAAGGAATGAACCAAACCCTTTGCTTCCTGAATCCGGCCACCAAACTCCATCCGCAAACGGCGGCAACGACCTTGGCCGCGCTTCAACGAGAACGGCCTGCTGCCGCCGATGCGCACGGATCGCTTGGAGAGAGCCTGGCCCCGACCAAAGGAGTTCCACCAAGGAGCGAGGAATACACGTCAAGCACCAGGGTCCTCCCATCCCCGCACTTTTGAGAAACAACTGAAACCCATGGAGACAGCGTTCTGAAAAACAAAATACCGATTCCGAATAAAAAAGGTCTCGACAAACTTCACAAGTAGATGGAAATGCAATGAAATACATTATTTGAAAAGGACTCCACTTTCTATGAATGTTTGATGGCCGCTGTATCGAAAAACAGTTGCCCAGCAGCGTCACAATCATTCATTGAGCAAACTTGAAACATATCTGCAAAGGATCACCTGGAATGCTACTCTGGGTCTGCTTAAGTCCCCGAACAGAATCTGTGAAGCGGAACTGCAGACTGAAGCTGGAAATCCCGTGTCTGAAGAGACACATAGTACAAAACCATACAAAACCTGTGGTTGTTGGGAAGCGAAGACACAGGGCTTTGCCTGCCAAAGTGGGCCCTCCGATCTCCGGCGTTCTCTCGCAACTGCCTGGCACCTTCACCACGAAACTCGCGGCATCATTACTGACCTGGAGGACAACTGATGGGTTGCACCCAAGCAAACCACATCGAAGGCCAAAACCCAACCCGGCAAATCCTGCAAAGCTGAGGAAACCCTGCTTCTCTCGTTTCTTCGGAACCGGTTTCATCGGTGCTGCACCACCTGGGTAACCAAAACGTTCCCTTTTATTGGTTCAGTGAAGAGGGACCACATGGACGCCAAAATGATCCCAAAATGAATATAGTGGGTATCATAGTCTTGACATTTGGGCGGGCTATCGCGGAGATAGGGTACGCATAGTCTTGTCCGGCAAGTTTGAGAAAGGATGTGCACTTAGTACCCACTATAGTTTTTGGGCAATGGTTTCGAGACTGAGGGAAGTCGGCTTGACCCACAAAAATTTACAGGACATCACAGCTCTATCTTCTACCCACATCTACCTACCATGCTTAACCGCCATGGTCGTCGCCACAGCAAGACCCAGGGTCGAGTCGCGCGGTCGCGCGGACGTTCCAACAGCAGCCACGTAGTAACGTAGGACTCTACGTTCTACCTGAGCATGTGTTTGAAGACCTGGGTCTTGCTGCGACCTCGGACATCCTCCATTGGGAGCGCAACGAATGACAGTGATATGGAGAAACCCAGCATCCGAGACCCAGAAACATCTAGAAACAAGCTCTTTCGAGGGTTCATTCATGCTGGATGGGTTTCTTTCTGTGCCCATGTTCCTGGTGATCCTCGGAATGGATTGTTAAACCATGTTCAGCCTCTCCCAACATCGTTGATTATGATATCACCTGCTTTTTTAATCATCAGTCTACAGTCTACATAATCCAGCAAGATCCAGCAGCCTTTCGGCACCTCACCAGTTGGCAGCACCTCACCCAAAGGCACCTCACCAGTCCCGCCTGCACCACTTGGCCCAGGATGAAGCCCGGGCGTTGCTCGTCCGGAAGGCCAACACCTTGCGAAGCACGTGGCTCGCGTGAGAGGGGAGCAAGCATCCACCTTCCTGCTAAGCCAAAACAGTGACAAACAAATAGATACCATCTGGAGGGACGAAGAAAAGCACCTGTCCGACCCAAAAGAAACACGATCCGGAGAAGAGAAAAGGGATAGGTAGCACAGGTGGAGAGAGAAGAGGTGCTGGGATAGGTTGCACTGGTTCAGCACCTCTTTCATTATGTCTCAAAAAGAAGGCAAAATCAGTTTTGCCGTCTGAGGCACTGATACTCACGGTCACCTCCTCCTCAAGGCTGCTCACACTGTTCAGGCTACTGGCGCTCATACGGCAGTCGCCTTCTTGAAGCCACCAGGCCTGGCCCACTTCCTTTCGGCGAAAAGCATTGGGAATGGACCGGGTGAAGTGGGTCAACGATGGGCCCCTGGGCTAGGTGGATGCTTGGCGGCCAAGGATTTTGGGACAGAGGCATGCTTTCACGCACTGGGCATTTAAATGAATTCAAGGTTTCTATACACTGAATAGCAGGCATATACACTATGAATAGCAGGCATATACACACCGCCAGGCACTCTTTGGGTGAGGACTCTCTCTCTCTCTCTGTAGCGTCATGGGCCTACACTGCAGTATTCGAAAACATGACTACGCAAGGGGCCTTTGGAGGACAGGACAGGAAGTGTTCGGCTTGATCTCGGGGGAAGGAAATCCACTAGGTCGGACCTAAAAGAGTCTGGTCCAGAAGTGCGGAGTGATCGGCATAAAGTGGGGGAAGAGAACGGGTTTTCTCAGCCGTGTTCTCTACATGTGACCTCTGGGAGTCTGAGTCTGTTGATTCAGTTCGTTGTCCGAAAACCTCTCGGAGCTGGAACCCCGTGTGTTTTCACCCGAACTCGGCAGCTCTCCAATCCGCAAGCTGAGTCACCACCCTGTAGGAGTCCAACAGCATGGACCTCGACAAACCGACTGCGAGCAGTAGTCGGTGCAGGGAGACGGCAGCACCACCGAGTGCCGCACCGTGTCTGAAGCACCGTAGTGCTTCAGCTGGTGCTTGAGACCTAAAGATATATATTGATATATTCAACGAAAGATTGAATGGAACATACAAGGCACACATGAATGCATTTCGAGAGCATGATGGAAACATGAGAGGATGTATATAGTTAATCTTCCAGCAATTAATAAAGGAAATGACAGGCAATGGCCCGCCAGCATTCCAAGCACTACAACGCTCACACAGATTCAGAACCCGCAAACGCGCGCAAGCCAAAACGATGAAAACGTCCCCCTCCAAACCGTTAGGCTGACCACTCCAGTGAGTGAATCATACGATGTCCCTGCATATCATAGGTCTCCCCTTCCACCATCCAGAACACGCCCGAATGTCTTTTTCATGTCTCGTCTCGCGCGGGTTCCCCGCCCAATCTTTCTCTCCGGGGCACATGAAGGCACCGTCCTGCAAACGACGGCTCCGGGAATGGTCCAGCCAGCTCGCCAGGCGGCCAAACATCTTTTGGCGTCCCACCTTAGGTGGCGAAGCGGCTCGGTTTCTGCTTTGTGGTGAAAGATGGGGGAAAAGTGATGCGAAGTAAGAAACAGGTGCAAAGACACGGCGTGGTTGGGGATAGAGCTCCATTTTTGCAAGCAGGTTTCTTCGTTGAGGTACTTCTTCCTTTTGCGAATCTTAACTGCTATACGAGCATCGCCGGAAAAAGAACCCAGGAAAACATATCAAAACCTTGGAAATGCCTTCAGAAACCGAAGAACAAGTTCGTCCGCGGACGAAACACGCAGCCTTCAGATTCAAACTATGTCACGTGCCATGTCGGCGTCAAGCAAGGGGCACTCTGCTTCATAGAGGAAAGGATCGTCTTTCATAATACAATGTTCATGTGGTCATGTGGTCTCAATTATTCTTCGATGTGCCCAACCAGGTCCCAACCAGTTCCTCTGTGCAAAAAGCGGCTGCCAAAACGATGAACAAAGGAATCAAAATCAGCACTGCAAAGGCCACCGCCGCAGCAATCGCCACATCCAGCTGCCGACCTTCCTGGCATGACTGGCGACTAGTGGGAGCCCGGAGAAAACGACAAAGCGACCAGTGCGCCGGGGGGGAACATATTACCATGACACTCTTTCTTACCAAGCCGACCAAGCCAATCAAATTCACCGAGGATGTTGCAGTCCGTTCAACCCCAATTGAAGTTCGTTTTAACTCTAACCCTCTTGGTGTACACATGTGTACACATAAGCATTTTCAAAATGCAGGTCCATTCAAAGTATGTCCTTGCAAAGAAGACTTGTTCTTGATGTTCCAACCTCCCTTACAACCTCCCTGGTCGGCCACCGTGAGCGCTTTTAAACTAACATGATTGATTCTTGGACTACGAATCTGAGGATGCTTTGCGCGTTGGGAGGGATGTGTCCATCAACCTGTTTTGTGAAGGAGTGGCAGAAACCTGTATTTGCTGTATTTACTGCTACACTCACCCAAAGGCTGTTGCCTCTACGTTTGCCTGGATGTATAGAAGTTTAGACTGTCTCTGCAATCAAGAGACCAATGGCAATCGCGTAAGCAAAATAGATTATATATGTTCGCCCAAAACGATTGCACATATCATCACATATCATACATACATACATACATACATACGTGCACCCATGCATACATACATACATACAAAGGTACGTACGTACCATTACATTACATTACATTACATTGCATTGCATACACACATACACAAATACGTACATACATACATACATACCTACCTACCTACTTACCAATACCACACCACACCATACCATACCACTACATTACATTACAATAACATGACATGACATGACATTGCACACATTGCATGATTACACGACATTACATTACATTACATTAATACATACATACATACATACATACATACATACATACATACATACATACATACATACCTACACACACATACATACATACATACATGTTTACTTACATATGATTACGATCAAATACTGATACCTGGACCTTCCAAGTTCAAGGGGCGCCCGATGGAGAAAAAACATGACGTGGAGGCTTCCTGTTGGCGGTGCTGGTATGTATCGGGCCTGTTGAATTTGTTTGCGATCTCCCTGCTAGTAGCGATGGCCTCCAACCCAGAAGCGACGGCCCCCAACCTAGTAGCCATGGCCCCCGACCTAATAGCGATGGCCTCCAACCCGATAGATAAGGCCTTATTTGTTTGCGGTCTCCCTTCTTTCAATCTTAGGGGTGGCCCCTGACCCTGCTGCCATCTGCCCATCCTGCCTCCCATTCCTTGTGTCCGGTCGCCAGGTCGACAGCACGACATGCGAAGTAGCTGCTGTTCCAGCTCAGGGTGGCATAGCTGAGGTGGTAGAAACGAACCGTGCCTGGTAAAGGAGTGATGCGGTAAAAACTCAATCGCGAAGACCGGTGATCCCGTTTGGGGAACCATCGTTCCGGCATAGCGGTTTCTGCAAATGTCTGCATGACAGCACTGCAATTGTTCCCCAAACAGTGTGGACACACTAGGGGTTCTTACGGTAAGGGTTAAGCACCGGTGTCTAATCGGAGGTGTCGCACGTGCGTGTGTGTGCGGCTAGTTCGCGCCTATTTACAGTACATTCATGCCTCTCGAAATCCTCGAAGTGCATTCCGATTGCGCAGGGTCGCAGAATCTGGGTGTTCACGGAGGTTGCTTCTCGCGACTGCGCTCTCGTTGTGATGTCGTGCGCATTTTCGGACATGGTGGTCACTTTTCGTGGCAGGCACAAGGGAGACCTCGTGTTTTGGTGGTCCAAGATCGACTTTTCGTGACAGGTGCGAGCGAGGCGCTCTGACTTCGTGACAGGTGCAGTGACTCGTGACTTTTGGACATGTGGCTCGTTTGCAGATTTCGTGGCAGGCACAGCACCTTGTGAACCTCGAAGTGTGCTCTCTCACACACACGCTCACTCACGCACATTCACACTCACTCACTCACTCACCCACTCACTCACTCTCACTCTCATTCTCACTCTCACTCTCAC